GTTTTCTCCTGGTTTTGCACCGTGCTTTAAAATTGGCTTTTAGCCACTGCCTGGCACTGGGGGTTGTCGCCCCAGGCTCATCATCCGCCTGCTCAAGCCCTTGGATGGGTGACCCCTCGCCTGGCTCCGCACTTTAAAAAGTCATGGAAAAATTACGCTAGCTGTTCGGTCGTAAATTGGAGGGAGAAAAAGGCAGCTTGAGACAAGACAGCGTTAGGCGGCGAGTGTGTGAGGCGAGGAAATGAGACCTTAAGCTTGTCTCGCGGCTCCCTGCTCTCCGTCACTCTGGGGCGTCCCACCTCTCGGCGCCGGAGCCCTCCCTGCTGCCCTCCTGCCGCCGGAGTCGGGCCAAGACATCGCAGAGCCGGAACGAGCTTGTTGACCCATGCAAATAGCAAAAATAATAAAAAAAAAAGAGATTGCGTTAGCCTGGTGAGGTTTTCTTCTGCACAAAATAAATGCCGCCGCCTTGCCCAGCTGATCGAACGAGCGGGTTTCCTGGCGACTTGCTTGAAACAGCAAAGTTGCAGCGTTGTCCTGTTCCGCAAGGCAGATGCCTCGAGGAAATCGGCTTCATCGGCTTAACCAGGGGATCAGCTCAGTCTAAACAAAACGTTTGCTCTCCGGTGCCTGAGCAGCGAGCGTTGGCTGTGCTGCTGCTGCAGGTTGCTGCCGTGCCGGGAGTGTTGGCGGAGACCTTTGGAAAAGGGGAGCCTCCGCGTTTCCGGGGAATCTCTTGCAGCCTGGGGGCATTGGCCGTGACGGCCGTCGTGCCTCTAAATGGACTTTTGGGGGGCGTTTGTCGGACCGCGGGATTACTGCAGAAATGTAGCTGATTAGTAAGTACAGTGTCTTCCTAAACTCCATATTAAGCAAGATTTCATTTTTAGAGGTTAAGTCACTTCCCCTTTTTCCTGGCGCTCCCGAGCATTAATCTTACAGCGCGTTTAGGATTATGACTGTTTTAAAGTTCGCAGACCCACCTGACAAAAAGCCGAGGGGGCCAGAAAGCTTCAGTTCGTCGCGGGACAGACACCACCCCTGCCCACGCTTTACGTCTGGCCCCATTAAAAGTGCAGAGTCTCAGGACACGGGCAGCAGGAGCGTTTCATTGGGAGTGTGCTTGCCTATGCTCTCATGGGTGACAGATCGATGCGCAAAATCTGCTGTCTGGGTACAGGTTTGGCTTTTCTCCGCTGCGCGCTGAAGCGGCGGAGCAGCCGGTAGGGAGAAGCGGTTTGGCCATTGGTGTCCGTTCGGGAAACGTGAGTACACGCCAAGCCCTGGAGTGCTTTAGGGGAAAAGTTGCACAGAAAGGCGCTCGCAACCCAGTAAAAACTCCTTAAGATTTGGTTATAAACACTGAGACTTCAGGGCTACAATTATTTTGCAGTCGTCTCGTCACCAGGAATACCCAATTAACATCAGGCCTTTGTATAAAAATTTTAAAGGGGAAATGACACTTGGGTAGTCCTCTTTGTCTTAATTTTCCTTGCTTTGTTGCTCCTTGGCCGAGCGAACCCGTAATACATATTTATAGCAGGCTGCGGAAGGAGGAGGTGTGTAAGCGCGCCTTGCGCACAGCCCTCCGGTCCTGACCCACACCTCTCGGTTTTGTCTCGCGGCATCGCGTGCCTGTAAGCGGGGAGTGCTCGGCACGCGGTGGTGGGCCCACGAGACCCCGATACTGATTCTTTACAGCACTCAGTACCCTGAAATCACAGATAGATGCACAGAAGATGCCCCTACCAACGTTGCTGAATTTGGGAGAAAATGGGAGTGGAGCAGGGCAGCTTCTGTATCTGGTGGGTGGGTGAAGCCGAAGACTTCAGATCAGACTAGGTTTTAGTGTGCTCTGCTGATTTATGTAAAAAGTGACAGACGTGGCTAGGTTTTGTGTACTTTGGTGAACATGACGTTTTGTGTTGGGGCTTCCTACTGGAGTCAAGGTAGAGGGGTGAAATTCTGAAGAGCAGGTAAGGTCCTAACAGTGTTGAATTATGAGGTGCCTCTGCAAAGGAGGCTCTCTGGTGTTTGTGGACTGTGATGACCTCATTTAGCGAATAAAATGGAATTACATCAGGGGCTGGGGCAGAGCTGCGCTGCCAAATCGATCATAATATTCCTGCCGGGGGCGGGAGGATATGGCTGCAACCGCTACCCGGGAGCAGCGTGCTTGGCTGGGGGTGTTGATGTGCCTCGTGTCTGGTTCGCAGAGAGGCTTTTGCTTTCTTTTCTTTTTTGAGGGATTTTGCCCCGATAACACTCTTGGGTACCACTCCACTTGCAGATGGAGGTGGAAAAGGAGGAAACTTCAGGTCAGGTCCAAATACTGTCAGAGAAACATGCTAAGGCCATGCATTTCCAAGAAGGAAATCTTAGCAATGAGGAAAGGATGTGGTTACGGGAGGTCAGCCTTGCGGTGGGCAGGGTGTGAAGCTGGATGGGATCCGTGGGTGGCAGAAAGCCCATTGGAGGCTAACAGTGACCCAACACCACAGAAGTCCCCTGGCAGGAGAAAGGCCTTGTAGTGTCCCCAAAGGCATCTGCTGTGTGGTAATGCGCTCCTGCCAGGAGTCAGGCAGAGGCTGGGAGCTCCAACTAGCTCCTCCTGCACATCATCTCAGTTCGTTTCATCCATGCTTTCAGCAGGCTTGTGCCGTCTGACGTTCTGGACTTTCTGTGGCTGTGTGATATTCCACGGTGGGAACATCATGGGTTGTGTCCATGCTTGTCCTTCCGCCTCCAGGCAGGACTCCGTCCCTCCCCACCTTCCCATGAAAACCTGGCAGTGCTTTGCAGGGATCGCTGGAAATTTCCTCACAGTCTGTTTCAAAAGCAGGTTTTCAGATAAACTGCCAGGAACTTCCCATTTCACAGTAATAGCGCTAATTACTGTTCCAGGAAAATTCTGCACTTTCAGTTCTCCTCGCCACCCCGTGTCTTTTTTTGCTTTTTGATCTTCTTCTTATTAGCTAGGTTTTTCTTTCATACCAAGGGCAAAAAAAAGTTTTGAGCACCCTGAGTCAAAGCTTTAAATTACTTACGGGATCCTCAGCATCCCGGTGTAGGACATACTTCATCCTCCTAATGCTCTTGTGGAATATGAAAGCGCTGTTATGCATTTCTTTTTCATTCCTTATGCCTGGAGAACTAAAGAGCAACTTTTGCGTGGCACTTTTATTGTGGCAATGAAAAGGAGTTCAGTGGTAGATCCTCCCATTTACAGTGCAGTGTCTGAAGCAAGCCGTATCTGTAGGGGGTTTGTGTCTCCCGAGTTGGGCAGATGCTGATGTGCGGGGCAGCCAGGTGTCACCTAACATGAGCAGTGCGGTGTGCTCTGCCCTCGTACACCCTTTAGGAGGCTAACCAGGCACGCGTGCCGTAGACACACAACTCAGAACTGTGTTTTGGAAGGAGTGGGTCAAAAACAAGCCAACTCTTGCACTACTTTGTCCCGTTTCCTTATGGCAACCCTCCCCACGTGGCAGTACGCAACTCCCGATAACTTTTGAACTCGTGGGCTGATTTGAGCCGGGGCTCAGGAGTCATAAGGCGCCTGCGAGGTTCACGGAAGGAGGGGAATGGGGCATTGGGATTCAAACATGTGCAAGTTTTGCCCCAAGTGATTTTTGACCGTTTTGGCCAGCTCCCGGAGTGGGACGGCGTGACCTGTGTGTCAGTGCCAGAGTACTCTGGGGCAGAGGCTGGTCGGGGGAAAGGATGGCAGTTTTGTAATTGTGTATAAAGAAAAGGTAAAATCCAAGTATAATTTAGTCAATAAGTCAATTTGCCCAAAGCTCAAATCTGAAGCGAGTCGGGCATCAGTCTTTCTTCTGCTGATGGAACTGTTTATTTTTTTAATCACTTCATCCCTCAAAATGTCTGCTTTATTGTGTGTTCAAATTCAGTGTTGGTGTTTTATGGCTAATTTTTACTTAATGTTTTGCTAGCTCACCTCCGGCTTGCCTATTTAGTCCTAGCTGGTGGGATGTAATGATTTGAGGGAACATACTGATTCAAGAAGGGACAAATGTCCGATTGGCCAGCGGTAAACTTGGGGAAATTTCTGTTTCTCCAGGGATTCCATGGAAGGCAGCCTGGAGCCTAAAGTAAGACATCAGGTTTCAAATCCTCCTGACAGAACTAAGGGGAACAGTTTACAAGATCTAATACTCAGCTAATTTTGCTCTACAGCAACAGCCTCAAACTTGATTTTTGCATATGTCGTTCTTGCAGCATCTCCCTCCGGTGTCTCCTTCCACATGCCTGTGGCAAGAGAAACGTATTTTATCCTTTTCACCTGCTTTAAAAATGCTGCTCTCCACAAATGCTGTTTTTTCCAGGGACGCAATCTCTGCACTGAGGAGGTTTATCCAAGCACGTCAGAGCCCTATGCCTGCCCTCTGCATCACCAACTTCCCCACTTGCTTCCCAGCGCTGTCCTGCCTGCACATTTCATCCTCAGTAGCAGATCATTAGGTGAATAAATTCCATGGCCATGAAATTTCAGGAAGCCTAAGCACTGCAAAGAGAAGATACGGTTCCTTGCTAATGCAACACATAGCTGTTTGCTTGCAGCACTTGAAGTGACTGTGCAGGAGGGGGTTTATCTTACAGCTAAAGCATTTGAGCTCAGAAGTGGCTGAGGGAGGGAAAGCGCCTTTTCATCAGTGCCACGCCAGCACCAGGCTGGCTTCGTACCGCTCTCCTCCGTCCTGATGGGTGAACAATTCCGATAACTTGAAGCATCTGCTCAATTCAAATGACCTGATGCGTCGTTTCCTCTAAAGAGCCTTGTGCATATTCTTTCCAAAAGCGGTAAATAAAATGTTCATGCAACAAGACGGGTGCACTTAATGAGCTAACACAGCAGTTCCCCCTTATCAGCTTTCTCATTATTTCTGGTTTTATAGGTAAACGGTGTTATTATGTTATTTGTGGCTTCAGGGGATTGGGCAAGAGCTTCATTCTCGTTTATGTTTCAGGGACACCAGCAGGTCCCTGCCTCCCTGACCCGCAGCCTTCCTCGCCGGCGGCCTCCTCCCCCCTGCCCAGGCTCCGCTTCCTCGCTCCGCGGCAGGGCACGGGCAGCCGGGCTCCGCGCGGCTTTGATTTGCGGGCAGGAGGTTCCCGTTTTCCTGTCCTCTCTTCCCGTTTGGTTTCCCCGGTTCCCACAGGAACCTGGGAAGTAGGTTGCGCCCGCCGCTTGCAGCGGAAACGAGCCCCAGATAACTGCCGGGGGGGACAATATCCACTTGACGTCACGGCGACTTCTTCTTTTTCGGGTCAGGTCGTTTTCTTTTCCCTTGCTGAGTTGCAGCGACTTCCCCCACGGCCCTGGGATTTTGTGCGCAAACTCTGGGGCGCGAGCCTGGAGATCGGATAGAGACCCCATAGCGGGGAATATGTAAGAGCAAGGGATTGCTTTTACCCTATGGCCAAGTAGGAGAGAGAGCATTTCCCCAAAGACTCCCTGCGCTTCCTGGAAACGTTGGAGAATTGCATTTTTTCCGTCCGTATTATCAGTGCTCTTGGCAATGCCAAGGGAGCCGCAACTGGAAATCCTTCAGGTTTAGGTTCAATGCACTGTATTTATTGCTGGTTGGTGTCCTGGGTGGCGGAAGTTATAAACACATGGATGACGGTGATCGCATGCATCTGGCGAGATGCATCCTTTTTATCCGAAAACTACCCTTTCCTTGAGCACGGGGGCACGTGTGTGTTTTGGGAGCCGTTTCGGGCACTGCTGCTGTTTTGAGAGAGCCTGAACTTACTTCTGTTCTTCTCTCTTCTCTCTTGTAGTTTTATCTGCAGGCCAGATTCACGTGGAAGGGAGCCCGCCTGCTTCGCCCCCTCCTCCAGTTCACGCTCATCATGATGGCGTTTTACACGGGACTGTCCCGCGTGTCCGACCACAAGCACCACCCCACCGACGTGCTGGCGGGGTTTGCACAGGGAGCCCTGGTGGCTTACTGCGTGGTAAGTAGTGTCCTTACGGGCGAGCGGCCTCCGATTGCAGGAGCTAAGGGACCAACCTTGGAAGGAAAATCAAGGGGGTGAACGTGGGCAGGGCCTGCATTGCTGCTGAGGACATCCAGGCGCCTCCTGCCAGCCCGCACTGCCAAGAGCTTGCGTAGCCCAGAAGTAGGACGCAGGGCGATGCCCTGAGAAAAGGCCAAGGGCTGCTGTGAAAAATCTTGGTGGTGGTCTAGGATGTTGCACAGAGCAACAGTGCAGGGAGCGCTGGAAACTGCTTGGCTGGGTCTGAGCAAAGGTCTACATCCTGCCTATACTGGGAACTGGGATGTTTAGGGACTCCGCTGAGTGCAAAGCGTCTGCTACCCTGGTCCAGACTACGCTGCGCTGAATCCCGTGCAGGGTGGGAACACCAGGACCCCCGGGTCAACAGCTCTGCTGAGCACAACCCACCGAGATGGCTACGTTGCCACTAAGCCAGGGACGTGCTCGCTAGCACGCAGAACCCTGCAAGCATGCACCGAGGGAGTCAGTCCTCAGCTCGCCACGTGTAGCGGTGCTGTGACACTTGTGCGGCTGGAGAGCAGAGCGCCGTGTCGGCCTGGCGACGTGCGCTGCGCAGGCCAGCTCCCGAAGACGGAGCTGACTGTTTCCTGGTCAGCCTTGAGCTCAGCAAGGCTCCCTGTTGCAAAGGGCCCCGTTAGTAGGGCAGCACCGGGGTGACCCGCTCACAAACTGCGGTAACAACTTTTCCTCGAGGGCTAAAAAGGCTTGCGGACAAAGAAGAATATTTCGCTTTCAGCCTATGGCATTCGCTTCTCAAACCTCTCTCGGAAACGAGCCTCAGCTCGTTTTCCAGCCCTTTGTGGGGACCCAAACGGGGCGTCTCGAGCGACAGCAAATACGGTTCTTCCCCCCAGAATCGAGCCCCAAAGTGCCCCCGAGGGCCCGGGGACCTTGTGTTTGCTGTGTTGTGGAGTGGCAGGATGCCTTGCCTTGTGTTTTGTTTCTTTCTTTCTTTTTTTTTTTTTTTTAATGTAGCAAAAGGGCTCGTGAGAAAACGGTTAACAAAAGCCATGCTTGCTTGTCTGTGGCTGCCCATTTTGTTCTCATGCAATTTACTCTCAAAAGAGTGACCTGATTGCACAGTCCTTTAACTCAAAGTGACACATGTAAATGCGTAACGTCGGCAGAGTGGGGGGCACTGGGTCTGGGGAGGGACGTGGTTTTCAGCCGTGCTATCTTGTGCTGAAACAAAGAGGCTGGGGGCTATGGTAATTTATGTGCCTGTACAAGCTCCCGAAACCAAGATTTTGAAAGCTCACCGCTTTCTGGGTTTTCTCTGAGTGTGTGTGTTATTGCTTTTTTTTTTTTTTTTTTAACTGATCTGAAAGTAAAGTGAACCTGGAGGCAAGGAATTAAGTTCATTAATGATTTATTTTGCAAGAAAAGAAAATAGGTTATTTGGGTACTTCCCACTCGCTGATAACATTCTAAAGTCAAGTCCAAATGTCATTGTTAAGAAGTTTTTATAAAGTATTATCAGCCCTCTGAGCATCAGGACACCATTGCGGTTCCTCTGTCTTTTATACAAAAAGCCTCGGGGCATTTCTTGAAGTCCTGGAAATCCCGGCAGTGAGTGAAAGCAGCAGGACGTCGGTGCCAAGAGCACTGGGAGAAGAGCCCGTGGGCAGCTTGCAGAACAGGGCAGCACTTTTTCTCCGTTCAGGTGCCTGAATTTGTGTCATGTGGGTTCGTCTAGACACCAAGCGCGTGTGGTCAGGCAGTTTTGTAAGTATGCATTTACCGCTCCGTGTGTCTTTCCGCTTGGAGAGTAGGATAAGCACAGTATATTGGGAGCGTGGACCAGGCTATTGATCTCCAGATCAGAGCAGCAGCTTCTGAAAGACAATAGGGCTCCGGACACTCGGGACAGACGTTCGGACACTTCCTGGCCAGGGACAAGTAGCGAACCTGGCGCTCTCCTCCCTGGCCCGCTGACAGATGGCAAATTGTGCTAGGTCGGGGCCGGGGAGACTGCGGCTGCTGCAGGGTGGTTTTCCTGTGACGAGGTAAGCCAGCATAGGAAGCAGCTGCCTGGGAGTTGTACAAACATGCCTGGTCCTTCCCTGCTAGCCCCAGGCGCGCTGACTCCGCTCTCTGCTCTCTTGTATGTCGTCTTTCCTCGCCAGCTTATGGAACAGGCAGTTGACCCTTGATGCCCTTTTCAGGCATTGGTTTAGTGGCTGGAGAAGTCTCGGGCAACAGCAAAAGGTGGTAGCTTGGGTCTAGGGACCGACTTTAAACCTAAACCTTGTCCCGTTTCAGCAGCTTGCAAAGAACGGGCAAGGTGGTCTTGTTCTCCTGAGCCTTGCTTTGCTGGCATGAGAGAGGGTGGTGGATTTTCTTTCCTTTTGGGAGGTGGCAGCAAGAGACCACTGGGCAATTCCTGGTGCAGGCAGAGAGCTGGGCTGCCTGCAGTCAGAGTAAGGTGCTCAAGTGTAGGGCTTAAACATGAGCTTGGGGCTGCTTGCACCACCCTCAGCTCAGGATCGGGCTGATCGATTGTTGGGTGTTTTTTTTCGTAATAGAGCTGCTCAGGTATTGTCATCAGTGGGGACTCACAAGTGTGGCTCTGGAGGGGCATCAAATGCTGTTACGGGGTGACCTGCAGCTCGCTGTCTTTCAGGCCCCATCACAACGTTGTCGCCATCTGCAGCATGGGTCTGGGGAGCTCGGGCTCGGCACGAGGAAGTGACCCTGCGCCATGACGCAGAAGCCTTTGAGAATCAGGTCTTGTGATGTTCAAGGTCCGTTAAAACGCAGTAGTTATCAGGCTGTAATTTTTGGTGGAAACCCATTGTAGGTTTCATCTCTGAGGGCTGCTGGAGCTCAAATCCAAGTTGTGTTGTAGCAGGCGCGTTTGTCCCTCTCTGCCTGAAATAACAAGCATAAGACATTAGTGTCAAGCACTTCCAGCTGATGAAACATTTCTTCTTGGTTCCAAGGTGAAATACGATGAGAATTTCTTAAATGGAAATAGTAGGCTGCCTACCACGCACATAAAAACTGTGTGTCATGTAGTTTATGTCTCTTCTGATGGAGAGGAAGATGGGGACGTGTTAAAGAGGCATATTCATTTTGGTGTTGCTCTTGTTAACTCAGAATAGTTTTTTTTAACCTTTCTGTATGTGAGTAGGGATTTCTTCAATATAATGAAAAAGAATTGTTAAGTGGAAATGTAAGATATTGCCTTATTTTGTGTAGTACATTCTTGGTCTTCTGCTGTCAAGTTTTCTTTATGGGCGGAGAGCACCTTCTACAGGAAATGGAGCTAATCCAAGTGAAAAACTTTGCACATTTATTAGTCCTTTTTTGTGTTAAACTGTTCAAGCATTAGGAGGATTTAACACAGTTTTAACCCTAAAAGATCATGTTTCATGATTCCTATAAGTGTTTATATAACCTCAAGCCACGTTAAAGTGAAATACAGCTTAAAGAGAAATTAAAACTCTTACCTGGTCTCTGAATTAAAGCCTGAAAAGCAGTGAACAGCACAGTCAAGGGTAAAGTACCTGGGATGACACTCTGCCATAGCTTGTTCATGTCCAAGATTAGGGCCAGGCGCTGTGCAATCCCCATATGCTTCTTGCGCTGAGCAGTCTCCTCCCGCAAATTGATTTGTCATGGCTATCTTGGTGCAGAAATTGGACATCTTTTTGATTGAATCCAGCTCTCCGGGGTGGGCAAGTAAGAGAGATGGCATCAGAATTTCTCAAAGGCAGCTGAGTGGGGGTTTTACAGTTATTAACAACTGAGAAGAGAAACATTGCCGGAGCAGTTAAACGTGCTTTTACACTGAGATGCTGTAGACCTTATTTCAAGAGGCCGGGCTCAAGCTCGTGATTTGCTGTGGGTTCAGCTGGATTCTGTTATTTCCCCGTCAGCTCAAATACTGCCACTTGGGTGCCCTGCGTTATCAGCTCCATGAGACGACTTGACATCCAGATATCGGTATATAGACACCAAGAAAAGAGATGTGTTTTGTATGACAGGTCCTGCCATGCTTTTCCACTGAGCAATAAAAGCTGAACCATACCCATTCCACTTCCTGAATCCCCAGTTACAACTGTAGAAATAAATTGCCATTTATAGCAGCTTTGCTGGCTGTGCGGCTGAGCTCCTTATCTGCCTGGCTCTGATAGGAACTCATGAAAGTTGTTTCCAAGGATGACTAGACCTGCTGCATAAGGCTCCGGGTAGCTAGAAAATGCGGAGAGGTGAGAAGGGAGAAGCTCTTTGCTCCCTTTGCTGTTATCCAGCAGGTAAACCCCAGTCTGCTCTTACTCAGTTGAGCAGCTTGGCCCTTTCCCCAGTATATTTTGGTGCCTGAACGTTGCATCAACAGACTGTGGGAGAAACAAATGCAAATGTGCTGCTCGTTCCTACAACTCCTGAACACCACTGGCTGCTCTTGCTGTTGCTGCAGCTCAGGTGAAGCACCGTGGGGTCCCTCGCCTGAATTACCCCGTCTTCCGGAAGTCTGAGCTGAGTCGGCCAATTTGGGCCAGCAGAGCCAGTCGGTGGAGCTGCACCGTGGCACGACTGACTGAAGCTGTGGGGTTTTGGTGCTAGCTGACAACGGATGAGTCCTCGCCACTTTTTTGCCACCTCCAGAGGATCTGTGCTGTCTGAGCCTTTTCCCTTCTGGCTCGGGGCTGAAGTTTGGCAAGGGAGAAAGTGCACCAGTCCGGGAGGCCTGATAAGCGTCGCGCGGCGCCTGCCAAGGGAGGATGTGGAAGTTTCCTCCCAGCACTTTGTTTCTCATTGTGTTACCGCCTCCCTAAATTGTCGAGCGCTGGCTTTTTCACATCCGGGAGAGGGGTTACATCACGGGATATGTAGGAAAAAGTAGTCGGGAATAGCTCCTCCCCTCCTTAGACTTTGGCTTGTAGACAGGCGTCGAGAGCAACCGTTGGCTTCGTTGGTGATGCTTCAGTGAGAAAAGAGGAGAGTATCACTCGTCTTTGACTCATTGCCTATAATTTCCCTTTTTTACACAGCTTTGATTTTTAAGGCTTTTAATTGCCTACCTGATGCCTGGCTGAATGAATTATTCTGCACCAGTTAAAGCCCTGACCCTCTTTGCATGAGTCAGACCAGCGGTTGGGAAAGCTTTGTTATTGTGTTTGAACGTGGCCTGGGTATCTATTTCCTGGCTTTTCAGCCGTTTTGGCAGGGTTTTGTGTATTACACTCGGTGATCATGCAGTGGTAAATGAAATTGTTTCATAGTGGAGTTTACGCTGCGTTCTGTGAGGTCCGAGCCCGGCTCTGTATCGTGCAGCGAGGTGGTAGCAGATGCTTGGGCTTTCACAGCATTTGGGGTTTTATGCAGGGGTTTGATAAATAAAAAGTGTATTTGCAGTTTAAAAATTCATGTATGTTCTGTAAAGCAAATTTGGAGCAAAGCATCTCCCAGTGTGGCTAAGTTGCATTTTCCAATTGTTTCTACAGGTGTTTTACGTCTCAGATCTCTTCAAACCCAAGGCAAAGACTTGCCTGCCTCCACCTCCCATCCGGAAGGAGATCCTTTCGCCTGTGGACATCATTGAACGGAATAACCATCACAACATGGTGTAGACCTTTGAAAATATCCAAGTTGTTTTTTATTTTATTTTATTTTTTTTGCAAAAATGACTGCTGACAGCAACTACCTGCTGCTCTCAAATCTCATCAGACAGTAGAATGTAGGGAGAGACTTTTTTGCCCGACCGGTAAAGTCTTACTCTGTGGTCTTTTCAACTTGTGACATTTGGATGAAAGGGGGGTTGTTCAACTAAGTCAAAAGCAACAGTGAGAAACAAAAAACAAAGCAAAAAAAAAAAACCAAGAGAGGTGCCGGAGTTCTGGATGTGCAATTGGTTTGAGTGTTCATGTTGTAGTGAACGCCGAATTGTTCATAGCGTAATGAACACTAAACGATTTTGTAAAGCTGGCCATCTTAGGTTTTTTACTATGAAGATTTCCAGTGCCTGTGTGAAAAAAACAACAAAAAACCCAACTCACAGCTGAATTACATAGCACTATATGCAAGAAACAGCACTGAGTCAAGATTTGGGTTTGGTTTATAAGAATTGCTTTTTTTTTTCTTTTTAATATTAGTTTTTTTTTTCCTCCTCCATTCCATACTGTGACTTAGTTTAGAAGAAGCTTGCCCAGTCAAAGATCTCCAGAGGGTCCCTGTTCACACTACACAAGTCTAACAAGCAGTCTTAGGACACTCGGAGCGGTGGAACGAATCCACCTTCCGCTTAGCTGCCACGTTTCCTCGTTTCCGCTCCCTTCCTGGCGACGGTTTGTCCTGCCTGCGACGTCAGGCGGGCGCAGCAGCTCCAAATGGCCATAGAGGACCAGAGCATCCCTTCGCTTCCTGGGGTCCCCCCAGCTCGCAGCAGGTTTTCCGGGCCGCCGCGGCCACCCTTCGCGGCGGGCAGCGGTTGCTCTGTCGCAGAGGCGTTCGCACTACGAACTCGGGACTGAGTCCCGGGGAAACTTGGATCCGGTAGTTTCGGGACGGGCTGCTGGGCGGCACGTCCCAGCCGGTGGCAGTCGGCGTGTGCATCCCCTCCTCGCCGCGGTCGGGGCCCCGGCGCGCCCCGCTCCGGCGGCCCCAGC